GCTGGAAAATAATGGATCTCGAGTGATCTTGAGGCCGCCGCTGTGAGCGCGTGCATTTTCCATTAAACGTGTTGTACTTTACCCACAGTGGATGTGCCAGGAAGGGGAACAAATTGTGACAAAGTACAGAGTACCGGCACCTTAAATTGAATGACTTCACAGTTGGACTTTGCCACACTTTGTCAACAAGGAAGCCACTTCTTCAGACTTCAGAGAACGTCCCGGACCCGGACGCACAGACCGGACAAAAGTTGGCAACAAGCCTGTGAATACATGACCTTCAACCCTTTCCACTTAGAATCAGACAAGGGATCGCAGTGGATTTCTGGCGGAGTAATTTCCACCCTGCCGAAGTAAGTTTATAGTATTATAGTGACGGACAACCACTTAGAATCAGAACATAGTGTTTTGTTCACCAAAAACAAAGAGCCAAGTAAAGAACATCCAGAGGACCCAACACATAGAACAAAAATCAGCATTCTAAGCTATGCACTTGGAATAATCTAAATCCATGCGCTTAGAACTCATCCCCAACACTTAGAACATATACGCGCTCATATGTGGCACATTATTCAGCTTTCAAACTGCATCTATGTCTTCTTCCCCAAACCAAAGCGCGTCACTCTCACAGCTGTGCCCCAAGAGATGCTGTTTGATTTGTGACCTATATAGAACCCATTTGACCTCTATTTTGATTGGAACCTACAGCATTTCAACCCAATCACGTCAAAGGTTTACCCAACAAACGAAAAAGGTTTCTCGGTTCCTCTCAGGTTTCTGCGACTTGTGGACTCGCGACTTGTTCGTCCAACTCGAACGACGGTCCGTCACCATTCACCATAACGACTGACGACTTGTTCGGGGTGGAAATTGCGGAGGAGACGTTGTTACCAAACGAGATTCTGGAGGGAAGTTGTTACCAAACTGTTTTTCCTCCTGAAATATGTCGTCTAAACAAGAGAAAATTAGTTTCTTGCAATGACATGCCAATGTGAATGTCTTGAGAGGAATGTTCTTGGAATATATTTATAATCATATATACACAAAAGGCATTAAAATACCAAGGTTTTACAGGGCCTGTCTTTTCCAGCAGAAGTTCTTCAAAAGAACAAGGAGGAACCTTTGTTTTGAGGACGTTGTTGAACAAATCAGGAATCGCTTAAAAGAGAAGAACCGTACCTATTTAAAGAAAGCGCCACAAAGGATGTTCTCACCATGAATGATGTTTCCAAAATGCATGTCTGCATATGTATGTTTTTAAGGAAAGAAAGTTCTATGAGTAACAAAAAACGGTTCAACAGAGATTGATTGAAAAATGTGAAACTGGCTGGCATCAACATTCATAAATAAGAGGATCGTCGAGCCATAATACTGTTGCAAATCAGGTTGCCTTTCAAAGGAGACAACATAAAGGACATTATGAACGCATGCTGGCGAAAAAGATTTGTTTGTTGAGAAGGAGGACTGTTTGATAAAGGATGGAGAGGAATTGTCATAAGGAGTAGGCTGGCTTCAGGATGAACTTCGTGTAATTGAAGGAACGCCGCGGCTTTTCCAAATCTCGCCGTGTTCAGCGAGATAAGAAGGGCTCTGAAGGAAGACATGTTTGAAAGGAGAAAGTTGGCTCAAGGAGGTGAAGAGAAGACTCAAGTGACATATACCTTGCAAATCCTTGCAAGGCATCTGGGAAAGGGTTGCTTTTAACAACTTTATGAAAGATGAAGTCCTTATGTGAAGGGTGAGAGGCTTTCCATTGGAAGGCGACTCCCAAAAGAGGAGTGGTGGGCCATGTCAACTGCTATGTTCAGTCATGATGCTTCTCGAAAAACTCGAAAAACTAGCAATTAATGGGATGGCTCCATTAAGGAGGCGTAAATCCTCCGACCCCTGCCTAGCTGACGCCTAGGCGGGGCGGACCGCAGGGTGAAACAGTTGCCCAGGCCAAGCAGATCCAGAGCGTTTCGCTGTGGCGAAGCTGCCGTTTTCTGCCCAAGCAGATCCAGAGTGTGTGGTGCTTTCTAGGTGTGGTCGTCGGCTGCATTCTGCCTTATAGGCACACCTCAGCTGCCAGGCAACTGGGCCAGGCAACTGGGCATCGAAAGCGACGTGCCCGGCAACGTGCCAGGCGACGTTAGGCATTTTGGCTGGCTGCGGTTCGCCCCTATTTTGGTGTGGAATTAGATGGTGGAAAGGCGTGGCGATACAGATTGCCGGGAGCCTTGCAAGTGGGCCTCTGGCACGTGCCAGGCAACGTTTTATGGGGGTCCCGAAGGCGACGTGCCAGGCAACGTGCCAGGCGACGTTATAGGCATTTTGGCTGGCTGCGGCTCGACCCTTTTTGGTGTGGAATTAGATGGTGGAAAGGCGTGGCGACACAGATTGCCGGGAGCCTTGCAAGTAAGCCTCTGGCACGTGCCAGGCAACTGTTTTATGGGCTTCTGAAGGCGACGTGCCAGGCAACGTGCCCGGCGACGTTAGGCACTTTGGTTGGCTGCGGTTCGCCCCTTTTTTGCTGTCGTTTTAAATGGTGGAAAGGCGTGGCGATACAGATTGCCGGGAGCCTCGCAAGTGAGCCTCTGGCACGTGCCAGGCAACTGTTTTATGGGCTCCCGAAGGCGACGTGCCAGGCAATGTGCCAGGTAACGTTAAGCATTTTGGCTGGCTGCGGTTCGCCCCTTTCTGGTCTGGGAGCCTTGCAAGTGAGCCTGGCACGTGCCAGGCAACCTCCCGAAAACGACGTGCCAGGCAACGTGCCAGGCGACGTTAGGCATTTTGGTTGGCTGCGGCTCGCCCCTTTTTGGTATGGGATTAGATGGCAACTGTTTTATGGGCGCCCGAAGGCAACGTGCCAGGCAACGTGCCAGGCGACGTGAGGCATTTGGCTGGCTGGAATTAGATGGTGGAAAGGCGTGGCGACACAGATTGCCGGGAGGTGAGCCTCTGGCACATGGCAGGCAACTGTTTTATGGGCTCCCGAAGGCGACGTGACAGGCAACGTGCTAGGCAACGTTAGGCATTTTGGCTGGCTGCGGCTCGCCCCTTTCTGGTGTGGAATTATATGGTGGAAAGGCGTGGCGACACAGATTGCTGGGAGCCTTGAGAGATGGTGGAAAGCTGTGGCGCGGCAGACTGCTGGAACCCTTGGGAGGAAGTCTTTGGGGTCAGGTTGCTCGTGCTCGGCCCCAAACCCTCTGCGGCTGGCCTTTGCTAGCTTTTTTCATTGGGTTTCGAACCTGCCCTTAGGCACCCTGTCAGGACAATATTTTGGGGTTTTTTTGGTGTGCCATTCGCTGTCGAAGGCTGTGGCGGGGAGGCTTGGGAGGGAGTCTTTGGGGTCAGGTTTGCTCCAAGCATTCTTGCTCGTGCTCGGCCCCAAACCCTCTGCGGCACAGGCCTTCACTAGCCCACTATAGCTCTTTTAATTCGGTTTCGAAACTGCCCTTAGGCACCCTGTCAGGACAATATGTTGGTCGTGTTGTCCTAAAAAAACGGGGTCGGCGGCAACCAGGGCGATGGACAAATGCAAAAACGCTGGGTTTTTCAAGGGTGATGCGCGCCGGGCGGACAAGCTTAATCGACATTTCGTGGGTGTTGGGCACGTGCCAACAGCAAAGGCGGAACATGTGCTCCAAGATGATCTGACAGAGGCCTTCAAGAGGACCCAACATAGGTCCCAGATATGGCACACATAGCCGCAAGATGACCCTACCTAGGTCCCAGATATGGGAAACATAGCCCCAAAGATGGGCCAAGATTGCCTCAAGATGAGAGAGAGAGAGAGAGAGACAGAGACAGAGACAGAGAAGACAGAGAAGACAGAAACAGAGAAGACAGAGACAGAGAAGACAGAGACAGAGAAGACAGAGACAGAGACAGAGAAGACAGAGACAGAGACAGAGACAGAGGCAGAGACCGACAGAGACCGAGACAGAGACAGAGACAGAGACAGACGGGAGAGAGAGAGAGAGAGACAGGACCCAGCCCTACACAGACCCAAGTGGGCCGGCGCCCGGCTGTTAGGCGTAAGCCTTTAAATCCGGGCGCCGGCCACGAAGCCCGTGCCGCCTTTGGTGGTAACCGACGGTTATAAGCGGGGCGCCCCCCTGCCGCCGACCCTCGTGCCCAAAACGGGGGGACGTCCGGTTCACTGAAATCGACGTAATTTACGGTGCTTTGTGTGTGTGAGGTATAAAAAATCTGTGCTTTACAGGGTTTATTGCGCATATCGAAGTACGATGCGGGGAAAGGGGGAAATGCAAAAATGCTGTGCTTTTCAAGGGCTGTGTCGGTAATGCGCGCCGGGCGGACAGGCTTAATCGACATTTTCTGGGTAGAGGCCCTCCAGACGACTTAAATTGCCTAACATATCCTCAACATAGGCCCAAGATAGCCAACATATCCCCAACATATGCCCAACATAGCCTCCAAGATGGCTCAACATAGGGCCAACATAGGCCAGCATGGGGCCAACATAGGCCCAACATAGGCCCAACCTAGGCCAACATAGGCCAACATAGGCCTAACATAGGCCAACAAAGGCCAACATAGGCGTGACATACGCCCCACAGAGACCACTATAAGACGTGCACCCGACCCAGCCCTACACAGACCCTAGTGAACCGGCGCCCGGCTGTTAGGCGTAAGCCTTTAAATATGTCATTTTGTTTATTCCTGCAAACAAAAAGGGAACAATTTATTTGCCATGAAGCTGGAAGGTGTGCAGTTCAACGCTATGCGACAGAAATTCCCGAAACATTCCAAAAACGACAACATATAAAGAAAACTATCCCCCGTCTTGGCTTAGGACGGCATACCAAAAGTATCAAGAGGATCAAAAGATATCAAGCTAAGGGGAACATGTTTGGGAGCCAAAATACCAGAGACGTGGAACCATATTTGGGAGGGAAAGCCAACTCTTGCGATACAGGACTGGTCTTTTTGGTACCCCCCCCCCTACCCCCAAAACATGTCCCCTAGAAGATCTTTTCTATGTTTGTATGCCCTCCTACCAAGAATAGAGAAGAATGCACTCAGGAGACGCTGCAAAAAAAAACGCACACGCTCACAGCGTCGGCTTCTGCAATGAATATCGGTTCACTCGTCTCAGAATGTCTTAGATGTTTGTGTCCAATCGACATCGGCAAAAAGAGCAAGCAAATGGCAAAGAACACGTCAAATGCTATCCTTGGATTTGCTCATCAAGACCAAGCAAAATCAAACACCAAGTATCGGCGATGTCAAATCGGGATAGACGCGGTCTGCAGCAAAAACAATGAAACTTAATGAAACGATGGAGAAAGCATGAGAAGATGCTGAGTTGTAAGCATACCCCAATACATGAGAGGGAGTTGACTCGGTAAGCGACATGTTTCTTATAACTTATAATCCGAACAACAAAAAAACCGTTCACCTTCTTCAAAGTGACCTTCTTGATGCTTCGGCAATGTTAAAAGCATCACCCTTTCCAAAAACTGGTCAAGCTCGGGTCACTTTGAACAAAGCGCCTGTGGCCAAGGTAAACAAGCGCTGTGTCACCTCCAAGTGGCTCACGTCCTCACGTCCTCACGTCCTCGAATGGGATTTCCTGTGACCGACGTTAACCGCCGTTGGCCGTTCGCACCGCTGCTTGAATCGATGATGGGTTCCCATCACTTGGGGTTTCCATCATCCAGACCCCCAAAGGTCTCATGTCTCACCCCCTGAGGAGATGAAATTGACTGAGTGGTTTGAGGTTTCATGTGGTTTCATTCTTCAGATTGGTTGCCCACGAACCGCGGACGAACACCAAAAGCACACCATGTCGCCTTTGGAGCTGAGCGAAAACAAAGCCGAATCTGAAATTCAAGGACTTGATGGATGATACTAAGTATAACGACATGCTATTACAGTATATGTCAAACAGATTTGCAAGGAAACACAAACAATAAAGATATCACACACTTTTGAGTTGGAGTCAACTCAAAGACTCAGCTTGGCACCCGAACTTCATCCCTCCACTCTGGCCACCTACGGTGACAGCGCCTCGTCCCCCACGGTGACGGCGATTTGGCACATCCGCGGTGACTGATCTCTCCTCTTTTGGGAGATAATTCAGCTCCTGGCACACTGGTGGTCGGCCAGACCTTCTCCATTGGACGGAGTTGACTATAGGGCTAGGGGCATGCTTGGCTACATCGCGCTCGCAACCACGCAGCACAGTCCGCCTATGGACAACGACCATCTGACCAGGGCATGCAATTCGGAAGGAGTGCATGCTTCACCTCACTTCCGCACGCAGCAACTCACTTGCACACAAGTGGGGGCCGCTGAATAAAAACCATTCAAAACACTAAAGGTTGCTTGGAGTGGTTCCTTGCTGCACGGAAGGTGTTTCACCTCGCTGCATTAGATCCACCGCCCCGGAAGAGTTGTGCGACCTCGCAAGGTCAATCCGATTCCGATGTCCGAGGCGAATCGGAGGTCCGATCCGAGAAAGTCAGCATGGCAGAGTTGTCCCGTCCCCCTGACCCCTAGGGATTGGCTTCGAAGGTCCGGACCCCTCCACTCCAGAGGATTCGGGTCTGGCCCCTGAACGGAGGGGCCGAACGGGCTTCTTCTGGGCTGAAGATCTGTGTGTTTCTATTTCGCCTTCCATGAAAACTGGCCGTGCACGGCACGCACGGTCCGCCTGACACACACATACACACTAAGGTGCAACTAAACCCCTGGGCTCCAACTTCTGGCAAAGCGTGAAAAGATGTGAACAGAGAGACAGAGTCTTGAGAGCGGTCGTAATTGTTCACCTGAGTTGAAGTGATCTACGGAAACCCACCATGGCAGGCACTCCAGTTGCCAAAGGCCTGGCTGCCGCCCTCCAGTGATAGAAGGAGTTCAAGGAGAAACAGAAAAACAAGAGCCAGACAACTACCGGTACCCCAAAAGGTATCAAGTGTTGATAGCCCCTTAGAAGTCCAAGTGTGTCCAGTAGACACCCTCTGTTTTGGGTACCTCATGGTTTCTCGTTTGGAAACTTGAAATTGAGGGGAAAACCTATACTGATTCAACCACGACAAGACAAACCAGTCATAACCAGTCCACCCGTCTGTTGGTTGGGGAAGTCTTCCGACAAAGAGTGATTGAACCTGATTGAACTCTGATTGTCTTCGTTCAATCCATGGGTCCCCCACCACCTACGGACGTGAAATGAACGAAGGCTTAAACAAGTAGAAGTGGCTTCTTGTTACTATAGTAGCGATGGCCTCCAACCTGAAAGCGATGGCCTCCAACCTAGTAGCTTCTTGTTCCTAGGAAGCTAATAGCTGCTTTCTGTTCATGTCTGTGGAGACGCCACATCGAATTCGCCCACATCGAATGTCTTTCTGATCTTTTTCACCCACGAACCCTGTGGACGTTCACTACGCCAAACCTGGTGGGGAGTGATCTGACCCAGGTCCATCGGTCCATCCACCGAAATCGGCCGAAACCAGGTCCTTCAGGAGCCGTTCAACAAACTTGGTCTGAAAGAGGCCCTGACCGGTGTCTGGCTTTGGCGGGACAATTTCAGTGAAGGGCTTTGGACATGTTCTTTTGAAGTGCCAAGAGTTTTTCGGAGAGTCTCTTTTTCCGACGGGTGGATTTCGGGGTAAGGTCCCGGTCGCAGCTCTGACCGTCCCGAACGACTCTGCCGGTCAGATGGTGGTTCATTAGGTTTCCTGTTTGGGAGCACAGAAAGCAGACCGTTGACAAGCTAGTGAACGAGATCCTACATCATCCAGTAGGCCCTTCAAGAGCGGATCTACATGATCTACTGTACGTACTGTATACAGTGCTTACTACTTACCCATAACAGGGGACTTCGGATTTGATCCCAGCTGGTTCGGGCTCGTCGACGGCAGCTGAACCTGAGGGCAGAAAACAAAACAATGCAAAGCGAAAAACATCACACCATGCAAAGCGAAAAACATCATCTGGATTGAACGGAACCTGCAAGCCTCAACGGAATCTCCAAGCCTGAGTTGTTCAGAGTTTTTTCACATCAAATAATCCTTTGTTTGTCGACCTGCTTATCCAGAAGTTCACCTCTCATGGTAATCCAACGAATAACATGCTGGATAGTCTCATATTCTAGCTACTTCCAGAGCACTGGTTTATATACTTCTTGGTGCCCCCCAAAGTGGTGTGGTATGGAGTAGTGCCCACAACCCACGTGGAGTCCGGGTCGTTTTGGATGACTGGATATGACTTGACTATACTTGACTGGACTTCTCGCCTGCTTGTCATTGAAGTTCAGTCGAAGGTGTTGCAGTTGCCGTCGAACCTGGTCAGCTTTGCTTGGTCGAAAGGCGGTCTGGACCAGTAATGCGGCTATTCTTCACCAGATATTGGAGCAGTGCGCCGCAGAAGTTGAAACGGATCTGGGTGTCTTCAAGGTCACCTGGCGTGCTTTCTGCTAGGTGACCTAACCCTGACCAGTCGCCAGATTCTGCAGCACGTCCCCAACAGCTCTGTGTTCGCGGCAAGGATTTGATCCACCAGTGGCCGCAACTCCACTGCGCAAATGCTGTGGCCAACACAGTACATGAGTTCACGCGGCGTGTGAATGCCATCTTGACATCTGCAAGTCAAGGGTCTTGGAGCCGTCCACGACTCACCTCAAAGCCGATCATACCCATACCCTCGACTCGCCGGCGAAAATGGCTTTGTTGATTCTGTGCTGTCAGGGAGGAAACATCCTGGTTGACCCAGTCAGCATGAACGAATCCCCCAAAATGGCTGTGAAATGCTGTGAAGATGCTGTGAAGAATGCATCTTCTTGTCCATGTTTCAATCGGTGGAACGGTGTTCCAGCCAAGCCTCCAGCCCGCATGCTTCGACTGGACGCGCCTCTTGTTCGATGTCGCCACCCATGTTTAGCAGAGCTTTCACGACAAATCCGCCATGCTGTGTGCGCCTCAGGGGCCATCGTGTCAGAAAGACCAACAGAGACCGCAAACAGGACCTACGAGATATGTTGGGAACCCTTTCTTTCGCTACAGGTGATGGCCGCGCAGGTCGCGCTTGGGACACGGATCGTCAGATCTGTCCAGTCCGGGACAGCTTGGGGGTTCAGGAAGCGCCCTGGAGTCCCTGACCTCCGACCAGTCGGTCAGTCTCCTGGTGCCATGGTGCCATGACTCACACCACAACCACACACTGACGTAGACTGGGTCAAATTTAGGGTGAGAACTGGTCGAACCCCCCCATGCAGGTCAGAAATGGCTGTCAGGACTGGGATACCGACCGCTTCACCTGGTTTTGATTCCCTGCTATTTCCTTCTTTCGCGGCCGGACTGGTCGGGCTCCAGGTAAACCACAGCCAAACCTGGGGCATCTTCGGGGTCACCCATTGGGCCCGGATCTCTTCGGTCGATCTGGGGCCCCCGGACGCTAAGGCCTCCACCCCTCCAGGTGTCGGGTCTTGCTCTGAACGGGCCTGGAGCGAAATAGCCGGGTTTTTCACGGGATCTGGTAGAAGTCAGCCAATGGAGATAGGATTCTTGATGATGATGATGATGATGATGATGATGATGATGATGTCACGCAGGGCACGTGCCCGGTAGGGGCAGAGCACGGAACACCTGTGAGAATGTGCTTCTTTGTTCCCCGGAAGAGTGCTCGAAAGCCGGTCTGCAATAGTATGATATCATTTGGGATCATATATATATATAATATTAGAGTGTATATATGTTATATATGTTATATTGTATACTTTATATGTTTAATATTAATATATATTATATTATATTATATATATTTTGATATGTTGGACGGGACTTAAGTTGAAGATGCCACCAACTTATCAAAACACCATATTTGCTCACGGTCTGTGTCCGAGGTTTGCAAATGCGGAAATGAGACAGGCACGTCAGTTTTCTTGACCAAGAAGGCACGGATGGTCAAACAAGGTTGATCGGAGAGGCTCTGAGAGGGCGACGACTGTAGTGAGTGAACATGCACAGTATATATACCCATAAAGACTTCCACCATGCCCAGCGAACGAAATTCAAGCGTTCGGCTGGATACATCTTCTGAATATGTGGTTGATTGTGGCCGTGGTTTTAAAAAGTCGAGTCCGAAGCATTGTCAAGAAGAATCCTTGGGTTCATGGGTCTTTTGAGTCACACCCATGTGTTGAGATATACCCCTAGCCTTCCAAGACCATACAATAAATTGTTGACCTGGCTTTGTAGTCTGAAGTAATGTTGTAAAACAATGGTTGTTCGCGATTGAGGCTATTAAGAGTCACTGGTGTTTGAAAACCTAGGGATATCCGTCCCAAGACAAATCGAAACTGTTCAACGGCTTCGAGTGCATGGCACCTGTTGGAGTAGCTCGGCCGCCAAGTACTGCCTGTGACAGTGTGCATGGGACAGCGTGCATGACTCATGCATGACCCCATAAAACAGGTAATGGTACCCATTTTCTGGGGGTATGAACTGAAACTCCAGGTCAACCCACCGAGCTGGATCGAATCCGACTCACAGTTCCACATTGGATTTGATCACCGCCATTCCGGGCAACAATCAGATTGGCAGAATGGTAAGCCAGGAAAGTGACACCCCAAGGATCATGCCCGGATCAACCGCCTGTTGAAAGGTGCTCCGTATACGAGTGAGGTTAATGCCCGTAAGCCGAGTGTCTAGTGGCCACCAGTCGACGCCATAAGTCTGGTGGTTCTAGTGGTTCCTCCTCCTTACATACTCTAAAATGTTGATCAATAAACGCCCCCATGGAAGAGGTTGTGAAGTCCAAGAATGGGGTGGTTGTTAATCAAGATCCTCCGTTACTTCCGAGTCCTACGACTCAGCCTGTCTGATTGTGCTCATCAGTCCCCTCCTTCCGGAGTGAATGGCGCGGGGCCGGTCAGCCACCGAAGGTAGGTCCAAAACGTCTAATAGCGCACTATCCGTCGGGTCTTCCGAAGGTTCCCAGCGGTTGTCCCCGTGTGGTCAAAAACAAAAAAATGTCTTTGATTTCAAACCCAATGGAAGCCCAGCTGGCTCTAGCGGAGGAAAACCGAAAAGAAAACGTGTGTATGATACGATAGCATACATACATAGTTATACAGGTACGTTACTGAGACTGCCCTCTCGTGTCACCGACACACCGTCAAATTTGGTTCTGAAGGAGATGTATAACCTTAACCTTCTGGATCTGGATTCAACGTCACCATCGGGCTTTTCACGGATCAGAATGTGATGAGAGGTTGCAGGCGTGTGTAACTGTAGCTGCTCGCCCTGTTTCAATCTCAGCAACAGTATCGGCCTCCTCTCATCCTTATCGTCAACACGCACGCCTGCCTTTCCCCCACAATTCTGCATTCCCCGTGGCCAATTTAACAATGTTGGGCAAACAGTCATGCTGCCTTAGCCGCAGCAGCCTTCAACCAACGGAGCCTATCCCTTTCTGATGTTCTGCTAGTCTTCATCATACAACGGGTATGCCTGGTTTGGAGAGGCTCCTTCAAATTTCAGACCATCCCGACTCATATACATCGGCCAGCATCGCTTGACTACATATCAATCGCAGGGGTGAACTCTTTTTGCGTCATTGTCTGACCAAAAAGCATTCCAGAGTCGTTCGGTCTTCCGAGCCTGCAGTGGACTTGCTTCGGTTGCCACACACTTGACTCTTGCGCAGTCTGTGGCCACACAAGCACGGATGCGCTTCTAAAACTGAGTTTCGGTCAGGGGTGTTTGTCATCATCTATCTAGGACTGAGCTCAATGCAGAAACCTCAGCACTTAGGTGGGCTGAAGTCACTACATATATTGATATTTTTTGTAGACCGATCACTCCCTGCTGATCTTGAGCAAACTGGACAATGTGGATACATTGCCGTATATCGCCGCCATGGTGAACCCGCGCTGATTGAAAATGAAGCGTCGCTGAACGTGCACAAGGTCACTCGCCATTCTGGAACGGGGACTGTGATTAAACGCATCCAGGTTTTCACAGCGCCTCGTAGGGTGCACGGTTGGCTGAAGCAACTTTGCAACCCGACGTCTGGCCCGGTGTGTAGAGAAAGACCAAAGATGTATTTAGCGCGTAGTTTTCCAGGACCTCCATCAAACTTTTGTCACCCTCTCCTACACCATCATCAACATGGATACCCAAGCCGCCTTCAAAAGGGCAAGCGACAAAACCTAGGTCTTCTTCAAGATCTCCCAGAATTGTGCCACAACAACGGAGCATCCGCCCTCCGGGACCAATGTTGAGGCAGCTCTGGGGGGAGCTTGCATATTTGGGGAGCATCCGTCACCCTTATCACGCAGGAATGCGGTTGAGACATCAAAAGTGACTAGGGCTCTTGAATTCGAACACACTTCTTGCACAGTTCCACATCAACCGTGCAAATCTTTATTCAAGGTCAGTGCATCTGCGTCGAAGTGTCCAAGACACTGTCCAATCCCTGTCTTCATATCGCAGGATGGCGAGACGTGCCTTTGCACGGTGTTCGGTGGTTCCAGGCAGGGGGTTGTAAGGCCCCATCTTGACCTCATGATCACATGATCTGTTCAGGGGTCAAGCTGCCTTTTGCCAATCGCTTCACCGTGCCATGATCGATGTATGCTTTGCCCTCTTTTCGTTTTGGGTCATCGAGTGGCTGCTGCTCTTCCGGGCGCAGGTGGCAGTACTGGACCGCTACGTGTTGCTTCTTGCAGTCGCTAGCTGGAAATGCCACAAACACATTGCGCACCTTTGGAGGGTAGCAATCTCATGAGTCAACATGGTTCCCCAATCATTTGGCCCGGTACTCCCCAAGCACTACAATTCGGGGACGGGAACATCTACCAGGGGTTGCGTATATCCTTCCTCGTGCTGTTGGTTCTGCAATTGGGCCGTTCTCAGAGTTTGGTGGGATCTCAGATGGTTCTGATGGAAAGCCTCGGTCTGGTTGATCTTCTTTAACAGAAATTGCGGGGCTCCTGAGTCCTCAGTCCCTCAAAGTCCGGCACTTCCTCCGGAAATTGTACCTTTCACGGTTTGAGTCTCCTGGCTCAAACTTGGTCAAACTCTGCGATGCCAGGAGTCTCCGGAAGCGGATCGTTATCCGCTTGAACAACGGCGTTCCTTGCCAGCTCTCTGACCCGCATGTATTGTCTAAATCTCGAGCCTTTCGCGCAGAGCATGGCCTGTAAATTGCTCATCCCAGATGAAGGAAGCGCGGCTTGCTCCCGCTCGGGCGCAGAGTCATTCACTCTACTAATGAGATGTTGGCATGGAAGGCTTGTCTGACGAGAAGTCTTCTGGTGCATCTGTTGGTCAATCCGTCCATGTGGCTAAGCCGCTAAGCATCTGTTTCACCGTCTTTCCGGGACCCTCACACCTTCCAAGTTGCCATCGAATCAACTCGCCGACAGGCATCATTATATGAGATCCCTCGCTCTGGGCAAACTCCGTCAGCTTTTCCCCAATACTCACCAGCAGGTTCCAAAAAGGGGAGCTGCCCATTGAAACCACAAGTTCTCCAAAACACAGATCTGTCCTGCAGTTTCTCTTCTGGATTGCATACTCAAATGAAACCGGGCCCCTCATGAAAAGCATCGGTAAAGAAAGGGTCCTGCCCTTCCAACTTGTCCAAAAGGCTCCATCCAGTCCACTGACATCGTTCAAGCTAGGTCACAGTGGATGCGCCCCGCCTGTCTCAGGGATTCCAAATTTGCCTCCCTGCGCATATCTCTTTCAACTTCTTCACTAGTCCCTCGCTCCTGTAAGAGCCTTGCCACTTTGAGAGGTGGATGCCTGAAGTTGCAGTGGAGCCTCTTGAGCTCCCTCTGTTCCTCAAGTGCACAAAAGTTGGGACTGTGCGCAGGGATGGGCACGAGATTGCCTGATTGGGTATGCATTCCTTGGCACCCAGGCTTCACACGTGCAGGAACTGGTGGCTTCTCTTTTGGGCCAAAGCCACGTATCGGGCGAGCTTCTACCATTTCACTGCTTTGCTGGCACGTCAGCATGACAGAACTGCGGGCGCTCATTCTTCCAAAGGCAACTGAACTGGAACTTAAGTCTCCTCCTCCTAAAAAGCTTGGCCCCAAGAAATCTTTGGCCCTTCCTTGCTGCGGCATGTGAAGCTTCTGTGGTTCTCCATGGTGATCCTTTTGCTGTCCTCCATGGAGACGGCTGAGAATGTAGGCCCGGATGTCGTCACCTGCCCCTACCAGAAGGGCGCTGTCATGTGTTGTGATGTAGGGGTCGTTGCTTCTTCTGTGTCACCTGGAAAGAAGATGGCTTTCTCGAAAAGCTCAAACTTCTCTTCTTCCTCCAGTTGACCCCACTGGCCACCGGAGAACTCCTCCCTGGTGATTTTGCCAAGCGATTTTCTAGAATGCCATTGACTTGCAATGTCACTTGTGGTGCAAGATGCTCTGTGGACTCGACTGGCCAAGCGTCCCGGAAGAATGCAAGCTTGCGTGCTTCCATGTCCCACTATAATGTCCCGCTGCTTGCGCTTCGCCATCAGCCATGGCTTCGGACTCAGGCATGATGGTTGTGTTAATTACAACTGCAAAGCAAGCTCGAAACCGTAATCGTAACAAAGCCCTATCGACCACGGAACCTCTATACACCTAAGCGGCAGCTCGAGGGCTCCGCTATCCACGCGAATCTACTATAGTCAACTCCAATCCAAGATGTTTCCCTGACCACCCACCAGCGACCCTATTGTCTTTCTCTCTTTCACGCTGATCACCATTTTGGTCGATGGAATGCTTGACACCCCCCTCTGGACATGACTGCTGGTTTCACTGAAATGCAATGTGGAGCATTCACAATACGTAAAGGTATAGTTTATCATATAATGTCAAATATATATATATATATACATACATATATGGTGTGCGTTAGAATAGGGAGACCTGCGAAAGACCCCCCCGGAAGAAGGAAAATTGACCGCAATCCATTGGTGGGGGGGGTCCTATTGAAATTCAAGCCAATATTATCCGAGCTCATACTTTGCTGCATGGCTTTGATTTTTGGGGACTGGACCGTCGCCTCTGCTCTGGTTGGCAGTAGATGAGAGCCTTCTCCACGATGTGGCTCGCATTCCCTGGCACGAAGAGCTACACCGTTTTCACAGAGGCCTCGAAGTTGGGCGGCGTAAGTTTGGAAATAACCTGTTGGTGCTTGTTTTCCCGATGCAACGAAGCGATACATCGCCCGTCTTTGTGCCCCTTTCCATCCCCGAAAACTGGATCCGAATCTGGACGACATCCATGGATTATAGATATGAGCAGATCGGACGACGACGACGACGACGACGACGACGACGACGACGACGACGACGA